GAAGTATGTTATAATGCAGGGGCAGGGGGCAGGATAGAGTGAGTCAGCAGTCTGGCTGAATTTTATGCTTGGCTTTGCCATTAATTAGCTGTATGACTTTGAACAAGTCATTTAAACACTACTCCTCTCAGACCTCTGAATCCTCGTCTGTAAAAAGCGAGCATTGGTCTATTTAAGATATTACATACGATTATTTTTCCCTCTAAAGTCTTCTGCTTTGATGGGGTGCGCACTCCAATAGCTGAAGTTGGGGATGTTTTGTCATAGTGCACAGACACAAGTAGGACACCCGCTCTATAGAAATGCTTAGGATTTTCTGCCACACAGTTAGTTTGTTAATAGAGAAGTTTGAAAGAGAAATTTACAAAGTTCTTTCACATGTACTCTTGTATTTAACTTGTACAAATGGCTCTGTAACATCAATGTAATTAACATTATCAACAAAAAAAAAAGTGGATCCCATGAAGATACTTATAATACAGTCATTAAGTGGCAGACTTAGGGTTTGAACCAGGTCTTTGAGATATTAGATTTCACATTTTGTCCACAAGGTATTCCTGTTTAGCCAAGCTTCATTTGTTGTGTCCTCCTCCTTACCCTCACTCTCTCCCACCTACTGCAGTTGATGTCAGCTCTCACCACCTCACTGCACCTGCTGTTCCGCGTCACCAGTGTCCCCTGCCAAGTCTAGTGGATGCTTTCAGTTTCAAGCCTTCTTGGCTTCCCTGCTGTATTCACATGTCAGTCACCACCTCTACTCCTTTGAGACTTTCTACTTTAGAGTTTCATGACACCACTGCCTTGAAGTTCTCCTGCTCTTCCTATAGATTATCTATAGCATGGTCACCAGGGAAGCTTATGTAATTATGGGTTCCTGAGCCTCTCTCCTGACCCATTCAACCAAAATCTCTGAGGATTAGACTGATCTGCATTTAATAAGCACTTTGGTGATTTGTATACATGGTAACTTCTGAGAACAATGCCCAGTATGATAATAATTCCTAAATCTGTATTTCCAGCTTAGTTCTCTCTCCTGAGTTCTAGATCATATACCAAATTTCTTTGTAGACATGCTCCTCCTAGAATATTCTTTCTGGATGTTCCTCACATATGTCAAACTCAACATTCCAAAACAAGTCACTTTTCTTCCAAATATGCACCTTTCCAATATAGTTCCCTCCAAGTGAATGTTACCATCATCCAAACAAATACCACACCAGAAACTTCCGAATCATCCTTCTACATCCAGTTGGTTAATACATTCTATTAATTGTGCACTAAAGGTATCACAAAGTAACCTCTCTTCCTCATTTCCCGTATCCTAATATAAGCATTCACCACTGCTACCAGAATGATCTTTTTAAAAATGCAAATCTGATTATATTCCTTTCTTGCGTAAAATCCTCTCATGGCTCAAAAAACTTAGAGGATGAAATGCAAAGCCTGTTGCCTGGCATTGAAGGTCCTTCTTGATCTGTGCCCTGCCCACCTGCATGTTAGCCATATGGAATGGCCTACTGTTCTCCGAACAAACCAGACTCTTTCAAGTCTCTGTATATTCTACTCTTCCTCCCTAGAATGCTCTCTTCTCTGTTTACCTAACAAACTCCTACTTATGTTTAAATGCTTAGCTCAAAAGTTATTTCCATTAAGAAACCATCCCTTATTCCTTTGGGGCAATCTAGCTACTCCATCCACCATACAAGCTCCCATATCTTTTCTACTGCATTGTTATTATAATCTTCATCTCTTTCTTCTTCCAAAACATTTTGTTTATCTTTATCACCTCACTTTCAATAAATGTTATTTACATGAATGAATAATAGTACTGACATTTACATAGTGCCCTATACTTCACTCCATATTTGATATTTATTTCTGTTTGTATTGCAGCAACTTGCCAGTGAGTCATGTTTCCATCCTTTCTTAGATTTAACATTCTCTTCAGCTTTTTATAGACTATCCCATATAGAAGAGGAAAAAATGGCATGGACCCAACATCAGCATAGCAGTATGTGAAAATAGCTGCTTTCTATAGAGCTGTCTACCTGCCTTTAAAAATACTGAAATCTGTAGTTATACCAAGTGAAATAATGAAGGACAGGAAGGATTCAGCATTATTTTACTTTGGTAAAGAGATCTATGGAAGCATCTTTTGAATGAATTCTTCCTAGAAAAATATTGATAAGAATAATATTCAGTATTTATAAAATCAATACTTTAGTTAGGTGAATGGGGAAAAAATACATAGGCTTATACCAAATCACAATTATGTGTATGGCTATAAATAATAAAGGTTATCATATCTCATGCCCTAAGTCTGAGGAATAAATGAAAGGATGAAGGAGAATCATTTCCTCCCTCACTGTTGGTATTTTAGACAGTGTACCAGTACTCTCTGAACAGACACATTTTCTTTAATGTTTTAAGTCACTATTTGCTTAAAGCAAAAATATTTTTCTCACCTGTTGATTCATATCTTTGTATGGAAAATCATGTACACACACGTGTGTATGTCTATTTTCTCAACCACTTTTTCTTGGTTTTGAATTCCTCAGTTTCCAGTTGTTTATTTCAGTTACATGTAGAGTAGTATATATATATAAACAGTAATCTAAATTGGAGTATCTGTAATTAATTGTAACATATCATATAGCTCAATTTAAAGAATTATATAATGTGGGGCAGTCTGCGTGGCTCAGCGGTTTAGTGCCGCCTTCAGCCCGGGGCGTGATCCTGGAGACCCGGGAGTGAGCCCTACATCAGGCTCCCTGCATGGAGCCTGCTTCTCCCTCTGCCTGTGTCTCTGCCTCTCTGTGTGTCTCTCTCTCTCTCTGTCTCTCATGAATAAATAAATAAAATCTTTAAAAATAATAATAATAAAAAACAAAGAAAATGTAATGTGAATGCAAATTATTTGTAGTATCAGGCACTGCCTTGTATATAGTTAGTATTCAACAAATGCTTAGTAATTGAACGGATCATAAAATAACAGTGTATAATGCTAGGGGGAAAACTGGAGCCTTTTTAAAAAAGCTTTTCTGTTTTTTGTTTGTTTGTTTGTTTGGTTTTTTTTTTAAGATTTTATTTATTTTTTCATGAGAGACACAGAGAAAGAGAGAGGCAGAGACACAAGCAGAGGGAGAAGCAGGCTTCATGCAGGGAGCCTGATGTGGGACTCGATCCCGGGACTCGATCCCAGGACTCCAGGATTATACCCTGGGCTGAAGGCAGGCGCTAAACTGCTGAGCCACCCAGGGATCCCCACTTTTAAGTTTTGGATATATTTTTCTTAAAAGCAAGGAGTTATAAATTCAGAAGTGTCTCATCAGTTGGATTTCTGATCTGAAGAATATGCATGTTTGACCTATGAAAATTTTAAAAGGTTATGAATAATTACAATGGAATTTAATAGATTTACAAGGAAAAGGGCTAAAAAATAAATCATAGCTGCTTAAATTTCTCTTTTTCATGTGGTTGTGTCTGGATAATAGACGGAAGAAGAGAGACTGAGCTGGAACACATTATGATGAAAACCTTAGTCCACTGGTAGTGGACTACCCTGCTACAACCGTGTGAGGATCTGAACCTAGGAAACAACATTGGTTAGAGTCATTTGTGTTACTCTATTTCCAATTGCATCATTCTGAGCCCAACTCTGCCATTTCTATAGAAGAAATAGAATTAGCTACTTATGTTTTTTCCTAGACCATTTCTAAGGGGTTTCTTAGGCAATCTTGATAAAAGGGTAATTTTCAGATTTTTTGTAATTGTCATAACATTCATCATTGGCAAAGTGCAATTAATTCTGTTTGTCAGCAATATTAAACTTGCTCAGAAAATCAAATGCTATTCTAAATATTGATGAAAATAAAAGAATCACTCATGTTCATAAGCAAAAAATTTGGTGCTAAATATTTTGATAGCTGGAGGAATTTTTCTTTTTATACTGTTGCGTACTCTATGGTAACTAATCTTTATTACCTTTCATTAGAGATCCTTTATGCACAGTTTATTTATTCATCCAGTTTAAATACTAGACATTTTTTATGAATCTAGTATGTATCATAAACTAGGCTAGGAAGAGTCGGGACACAAAGAAATACAAATTCAGATTTTGGCCTTTGAAGCATTACAATCAAGTTGGGGTAGAAAGGTATGGGGAGAAGATAAACACACAAATGTTATACTGGTAATAAATGGTATGATAAATACTGCACAAGATGGAAGGTCAAAGCTTATAAAAAGGGCATCCATCCTGCAGCCACAAGGAGAGGTGTCCAGGAGGCCTTCCAGGAGAAAGTGGTACCTGAATAGCTGTTGTTAATTAACATGATCTCTACAAGGATTTCTTGAAATTGAATTATGTCTTAAACTGATTCTGCCTTTCTTCCTCCCTCCTCCAGCTCTGTTAAGGTCTTAGGTACAAGAAGTCCAGGGCCATGTATGGCAGAAATGAATTATTTACCCCAACATTTCTTCTTCTCTATTAAATTCCACCCCCTTCTTCACCCCACTCATTTTTTGCTGGATGTTTGGATGCTTGAAATAAAAATGTATTTCTCAGGCACCCTTTAACCTAGATGTGAGCCCTTAGATTGGGCTCTGGTGAGTGGGATATAAACAGAGAAATGTATGACAGATTAAGGGAAATATCCTTAAAAAATGGTTTGCAAATACTTGGTTCTGTGCCTCTCTCACCCCCCCCCACCCCCCCTGAACTTACTAGTGAAGGAGAAATCAAATTCTGTCTTAAGCTAATGCTGTTTTGGGGCGGGGGAAGTCTTCTGCTACTCTCAGATGAACCTAATCTTATCAAATATATCATGTTTATCTTATTTACCAGCACTTAGTACATTTTGGGTGTTCAATAATTTTTTAAATAAATGAATGAATATATGAATCTCCAAACACATCAAAATTTCATACATAAAATTTGCCTCAGTAACTCCTGATTTTTCTTTCTTTCTTCTTCTTCTTTTTTTTTTAATCTACGATAGTCACACAGAGAGACAGAGAGAGAGAGGCAGAGGGAGAAGCAGGCTCCATGCACCGGGAGCCCGACGTGGGATTCGATTCCGGGTCTCCAAGATCGCGCCCTGGGCCAAAGGCAGGTGCCAAACTGCTGCTCCACCCAGGGATCCCTGATTTTTCTTTTAGATGAGCCAGATTTTCTCATTACTTACCTTATTATTTATTGAGAATAAGGCAGACCCTTAAAAAAGCTGCTTTAACTCATTCTGGTAAGTAGATTATTATTTCCTTGATATCTTAATTTGCAATACAATAGTGAAAATATAGTTAACCTTTCAAATATCCATACTACTTTCCTCTCTTTATAGACTATACATTGCCAGGATGGTATATTGCAAACAAAAAAGCAAGATTGACAGAAAACTTGAACCAAAATAGGTACCTTTGCCAACTGTGCACTGATGGACATATGTTATGTTGTATTTACATTCTGTTTACCTAGCTCTCAGGGAGAGGCTCAGAATACTAACCATGCCAGTTTTATCAAAATTCTCTCAAAAACCTAATCTGCAAAAAAGGTCTACTTATTAGGGGCAAGACAAAGTTGTCAAGAAAATTTATATCATATAGGTTGTCCTACATATAATGAAGTCTGAAGAGTAAACACTTTGAAAACATTAAAAAAAAAAAAGAACTTTCAAATTGTTCCAGTCCATTACTTGGTACTGCATTTTTATTGAACATTTTGAGATGGAGCAAAGAGCACTGACTCAGAGATCTAAGCTTTGTGCAACTTCGGTGCAGGTTATTTTCACTTTCCATCTCTCTGTAAAATGGCGGAACATTTACCCACTACATTTTGTAATGTGTTGAAACAGATAGCATCTTGAAATAGCTTGAACTGCACGGATATAAATGTTTTAAAATAAAAATGGCATCTTCCTAGAGTAGAGAAGAAAGAAAGGTAATTTAAATTAGTAGTAATTTACATGCTGTTCCTGTCTCTGGGCAGCTTGCTGTGATTTTTTCCTCTATAGTCCATCATTTATTTTCAAAATGATTATTCAAAAATAAAACTGGAGCAGCAGTTGTTCCCTTCTGAAATAATTGTATATGGGAATTGTCATCTATGAAGTTAGACTTAATTTGGAGATGGAGATCAGGTGCTTTTAAAAACAGTTGAAGGAAGGAAGGAAGAAAGAAAGAGAAAGGAACCACACCATCCAAGATTCTGATTATCTATGAGCTATTTAGAAGCTTGAATTGACTTTTTGAAGTCTTTTTTTTTTCTTGCTCAATACCATCGTTACAGAAAATTGTATTAGATAATTATTTCTTTTGCTCCAGAAGAATTTATCATCAGAAGTAACTTTATTGGGGTGCCTGGCTGGCTCAGTCTGTAGAGCATGTTACTCTTTAAAAAAAAAAAAAGATTTATTTATTTATTTATTCATGATGGACATAGAGAGAGAGGCAGAGACACAGGAGGAGGAGAAGCAGGCTCCATGCCGGGAGCCCGACATGGGACTCGATCCCGGGACTCCAGGATCACATCCTGGGCCAAAGGCAGGCGCTAAACCGCTGAGCACCCAGGGATCCCCTCTTTTTTTTTTTTTTTTTTTTAAGGAGAGCATGTTACTCTTGATCTCAGGGTCACAAAATCGGGCCCCATATAGAGGGAACAAGAAAGAAAAGAAATAAAAGAAAGGAAGGAAGGAAGGAAGGAAGGAAAAGAAAGAAAGAAGAAAGAAAGAAAGAAAGAAAGAAAGAAAGAAAGAAAGAAAGAAAGAAAGAAAGAAGAAAGAAAGAGAAAGAGAGAGAGAGGGAGGGAGAAAGAAGGAAAAACTTTCTTTTTCTATCCCTTCATACTTAAAGGTTAATGGTTGCAATGCCACAGGAGTAAATATAATCCAGTGCAATGTAGAATCAGAAGGACGAGGACAAAGGAGGCCTCTGATGGAGATGAGTTAGAAAAAAAAGTCTGAATGATTCACAGAAGGAAGGATCTTCATCCAGCAATAAGAATGGATCTCAGAATTGTTCCCAAATACTTATGTATCTAAATAGTAGCCTCCTGTGTTGTATTCAGGAAAAACTCATTGAACCAGAATTGCTGACTTGAACAGGCCTCATTTTTGATCTTGTTTTACAGATGTAGGAAGGAGAGGTGGGACCAGCTACATCATTTGTGGGGCCCATGGAAAATAAAAATGTTGGGCTTCTTGTTCAAAAATCATTAGGCATTTCAAGATGGTGGCAATAAGCCAATCATAGGATACCTCTGAGGGCACACACAGGCCTTTGCGACTACACAGGTTGCATGCCCATGAAATCAGTCCTGAGAAGTTGCCCAGATTAAATTATTGTTGAAAGGGATGAAACTGGTTAGGAGGGGCACTAACCTCCTGATTCCTTGTTTAGTTTTTCTTGTTTTCCTCTGCATTTTATTATTTTTCCATATTCACTTCATATTTAGCTTAGAATAATATATATTTCTTCATTTGTTCTTCAATTTATTAAGTATTTCTTGAACACAAACTGTGTGACAGGCACTATATTAAACACTGAAGAAACAATTATTAGACAATTCCTTTCCTTAAGTACTACTTAACACTGGGTGCAGAAAAATGACATCAGGAAAAACATCCATTTCTACAGAGGTTGTGGGGAAAGGTGGAACTCTCATACATTACTAGTGAGAGTTAAATAGGCATTAATTTTTTGGAGAATAACTTGGCCACACAAGAAAAATGTCTTAAATTGAGTATATCTTTTGGCCTAGAAATAACACTTTCTGGAATTTATCCTAAGGCAAAATAAGAAAAGTGAGCAAAATTATATGCACAGTTGTTTATCTCAGTGATTTTTTTCCCATAAATGCTTAAGAATTTGGGTTTTGGTAGGCACATGTTAGTATACCTATGCTGTTAATACATGACCTTAAAAATGTGGTTTTAGTGGCGCCTGGGTGACTCAGTGGTTGAGTGTCTGCCTTTAGCTCAGGTTGTGACCCGGGGTCCCGGGATCAAGTTCCACATGGTGCTCCCTGTAGGGAGCATGCTTCTTCCTCTGCCCGTGTCTCTGACTCTCTCTCTTGCATCTCTCATGAATAAATAAATAAAATCTTTTAAAAAATTATAGAAACCAGAATACACACAAATAATTGTCTTGTGCCATTTTTAAATCCTAATTTTGTAAGAAAAAATATGTGGAGAAAAATGTGTAGAGGATTATAAGAAAATGTAACTTGCAATTATCTCTGGGGAAAAGCTTGACAAAATTTTAGAATAACAAAATTCTTTCTTTCTTTCTTTCTTTCTTTCTTTCTTTCTTTCTTTCTTTCTTTCTAAGATTTCATCTATTCATGAGAGACACAGAGAAGAAGGGAGAGACATAGACAGAGGGAGAAGAAGGCTCTACGCGGGGAACTCAATCCCAGGACTCTGGAATCATGACCCAAGACAAAGGCAGATGCTCAACCACTGAGCCACCTAGATGCCCCAACAAAATGATTTCTAAGAGGACAGTTCCTTTAGAGCAATACTGAATGCAACACACTATTAGAAAGAAATTGGACACATCATAAGAGTGTGCTGTCTGAAAGATGCTACTGCATCAAGTGTGATGCACATCACATGTGTGATGTGCTGCAGCAAGCCTGGCCATTCCTTTACTGTCAAATCCCATTTTATTTTGTTTTTGGTTTTGTTTATTTCTTGCCTGTAAATACCACCTAAATACAGTAATGGATCTCAACATTTCTTTCTAATTTTAAAACATGTCATTGATCATTGTTATCAGTTGTTAACTTTAATGTCCACTTTAACTGGGATATGTATACATGCACATGGATATATACTTTGATTCCTAGTAGCTGTCCTCATCCTACACCCTAGATTTCTAAGACAAATAATTACTGTTCTATATCTTTTAGCATTTGACACATAAAGTTGGTTCAGTACATTATGTAATGACACGGATGGTGGTAAAATTAATTTTCCTTAAAAATGACAGCTACCAAAACAACCACAAAAGCCTATGTTTTATAACTTGGAATATACTTTCTTTTCTAGAAAATATTACAAAAATATTTGTTTACTGCTGGCCTTCTGTGAATTCTTTGAAACCCACAACAATTCCTATAGCATTCCTTATAACCATCAACTTGACCAGCTTCGTTACAATGCAGTCAGGTCAAATTTATGAGTTAAGGATCATATCTACATTAGTTACCCCTCTCTTTAGTTTTCCGGACACCTGCCAAAACACAAAGCAAACAACTACTAGAAGTCCTTTCTTGTCATCATGATGTCTTTCTTCTCCTCTCTCCTCTTCCTAGCCATTAGACCTCACAATCCTTTCTGGTCTCTGTGTAGTTCTACTTCTTTTCCTACCCACCTCTTTCCTAGCACCCCTTCAGCACCAGTCTAATCCAAAGAGCTAACGGGGATTTTGCCACATTCGTCTTTTTAAAATAAGGATATAGAGAATAGAGAAGAAAAATTTGCTTTAGAGTGAGATGTTTGTTTACTTTACAGAGGTTGCAGATCATAGCATTCCCATTAAAAATAATGTTACTTTCCAACTTAAAAGAATTAACCTAAGGAGAAACTTTTCAAGGACAAATAATGCTCATAGAGTGGGGCAAAGGTGGTTAAGTAGAAAAAGGGCCTATTGAGTGGTGAAATTTATCCAGTCATCAGAAACCCTTCACAACCTTGTGTTTCTGTCACATATCATTATTTGTAGAATTGATTTGTAGAATTGAATGATTTTTGTATGTATGATTTGTAGAATTGAGTGATTTTTGTATGACTTTTAACAAATAAATAGCCTACATGATAATGTTAACTAATAAAATAAGTGCAGGCTGTAACAATAATTAAAAAGTAAGAAAATGAGGGCAGCCCAGTGGCTCAGCAGTTTAGCACCACCTTCAGCCCAGGGCCTGATCCTGGGGACCCAGGATCGAGTCCCATGTCAGGCTCCCCTCAGGGAGCCTGCTTCTCCCTCTGCCTGTGTCTCTGCCTCTCTCTTTTTATGTCTCTCATGAATAAACAAATAAAATCTTTAAAAAAAATAGTAAGAAAATGAAACATTGAAGATATAAATGTTCAACGAAATGATACATTTTGCCTTATTCTTGGTTAGGTAACAATAAAAAAATAGTCATCCAAAGGGGAAAAGGGGAAGAGGCATTGAGGACATTTGGTGACATGCCACCTTGAGAAAATGAGACTGGAGAAAGATTCTTTTTTTTGGGGGGAGGGGAGATTCTTGCATTGATCCATGGTTGATGCTGGGAGGAAGGGGAGTGAGAGGGACAGACATACTTTTACTGTCTTTGTAAATTTTCGGATGTAATGCTATGTGATTATAGCAATCTTCTCCTATCACATCCCAAGGGATATTCTTTAGTACTAAGTATTGTGGAGAAATTGTTTTTCTTATAAAATGATGATGATTAACTAAAATTCCTGCTAAATTTTACATATTCTTAGTATGAGTTATAGCATAGAATATCAAAATTCGGACTTTATTAACTTAGCGATTAAGAAAAATATTCAGGCACGTAAAAAATAAAAACACGGATTCCTCAAAAAGTTAAACATAGATTTATCATATGATCTAGCCATTCCACTTGGTATATAACCAAAAGAATTGAAAGCAGGGACTTAAACATATACTTGTATACCAATGTTCTTGGTAGCATTATTCACAACTGCCCAAAGGTGGAAATAACCCAAATCCATCCAACAGATGAATAGACTTCAAAAAGTGTGCTATATACATACAATGGCATATTGTTCAGTCTAAAAAAGAATGAAATTCTGATTCATGCTACAACACAGGTAAACCTTGACAACAATGCAAGTGAAATAAGCCAGACACAAGAGAACAAATATATGATTCCATTTATGTAATGTACCTCAAATAGGCAAATTTACAGAGACAGTAAGTATATTAGAGGTTACCAGAGCCTGGAGGAAGAAGGGAATGCAGAGTTACTCTTTAATAATTACAGAGTTTTGGGGCACCTGGGTGGCTCAGTGATTGAGCATCTGCCTTTGGCTCAGGTTGTGTTCCTGGGGTCCTGGATTCCAGTCCTGAATCAGGCTCCCTGTATGGAGCCTGCTTCTCCCTCTGCCTGTGTCTTGACTCTCTCTCTGTGTCTCTTATGGATAAATAAATAAATCTGAAAAAAAAATGAGTACAGAGTTTCTGTTTGGGATGATGAAAAAATTCTGGAAACATATAGTACTGATGGCTGCACAGCCTGGAACATGTACTCAATGCCACTGAACTGCATACTTAAAAATGGTTGAAATAGTAAAGTTTATGCCCTGTATAGTCTACCAGAATAAAGAATATATTGAAAAGTAAAAATAAAAACACTTACCATATTTACCGTGACAGAAATCTTGAGAAAATGTCACAACCTTATACCAGAAATGACTCTTGTTTTCGAATGGGCATTAGATTTAATCTTTCAGAGATGCTTGGATGGCTCAGTGGTTGAGTGTCTGCCTTCGGCTCAGGGCATGATCCCGAGATCCAGGATCGAGTCCCACATCAGGCTCCTGGCAGGGAGCCTGCTTCTCCCTCTGCCTATGTCTCTGCCTCTCTTTCTCTCCCTTTCTGTGCCTCTCATGAATAAATAAATAAAATCATAAAATAAAAGATTTAATTTTTCAAAGCATATACGTCAATTTTAGCTTTAAGTATTTTTCAAACTTTCAGATTATTTTGTTCTTCAAATTTCTCAGCAATCAGGGCCAGACTACTGAACACTCTGCAGGGGGAAAATGTGCCATGCTATTAACTAAACAAAGCTAAAGAGAGTCCTCAATAAGCTAATGTTCAGTAAAACAAAACAAAACAAAAACCCCCAAAGCAAAAAACTCCACTGTACAGTGTGCTGCCTTTTTCAAATGTCAATGATTATATACCTTTTAGCTTCTCCCCGACCCAGTGTTCCCTGAGACACAGTTTAGGGAATGCTGCCAACCTGTCGCCTATATGGTGTAATTTCTTATTTATTTATTTATTTATTTATTTATTTATTTATTTATTTGAGAGAGAGAGAGAGAGAGAGGCAGAGACACAGGAGGAGGGAGAAGCAGGCTCCATGCTGGAGCCGGATGCGGGACTCGATCCTAGGACTCCAGGATTGTGCCCCGGGCCAAAGGCAGTTGCTAAACTGCTGAGCCACCCAGGGATCCCCTACATGATGTAATTTCTGAATTGGCCTCCACAATTGATTGATTCACTTATTGCTCTGTCATGCTTTCATCATTTTATTCTTTCTTTTACTTATGGATCAATGTAACACATTTACTGGGTACCAATATTGTGACACTCAGCATGCTAAGTGCCATTCAGTATCCTTGGTGAACTTCTCAAATCTAGGTACGAATAATCTGAAATACCCTCTATTTAGCACTCACAAGTATCCCTGATCTCTATCCAATTAAAGAGTTGCCCAGTTTCACATAGATCCAACTCACTTTATTATATGAAAGAGATGGAAGAAGAGGAGCTTCTCAACTGGGATTGGTCAAGGTCTAGGATGTGGAATGAGTATCTTCACCTACGTCCCAAGGACCTTTTACCCCTTTGCTCTCAAGTGGTGAGCTTGCTTTCTCCTTCAGCCTAACAGGTTCACACCATAGGATCATCTCTACTTTCACATCTCTACTTTTCATTTAAGTGGATCTGGGGCTTCCAGGTTAGAAACCTGGAATGTACTGTTCTTTGGGACTCCCTCTCCCTTTGCAATTCTGTTTTCTCAAGGGAAGAATCTCCTTTGGAACCATGTGCCAGAGATTTATTCCTTTACTCACCAAAATACACACTGTATCCTCTAGTACCTGTATTTTGCTAGGTTCTATGGATAACAAAGGGGAAAAAAAAAAAAACGTGTTCCTTGACCAAAAACTAGATATATGCAAATCTAACAACTATGGAATGGGATAAGCGATGTACTATTAACAACTGCTGAGTTGGGATCCCTGGGTGGCGCATCGGTTTGGCGCCTGCCTTTGGCCCAGGGCGCGATCCTGGAGGCCCGGGATCGAATCCCACGTCGGGCTCCCTTTGCATGGAGCCTGCTTCTCCCTCTGCCTGTGTCTCTGCCTCTCTCTCTCTCTCTGTCTCTCTCTCTCTCTCTGTGTGTGTGTGTGTGTGTGTGACTATCATAAATAAATAAAAATTAAAAAAAAGATTTAAAAAAAAACAACTGCTGAGTTATAGCGATTCCAATTATCTATGGAATATTCATTATGCATCTAACATTGTCCTAAGCGCTTTATGTGCATTAACTTGCAATATATCCAACAACAAGCTTATGAGGTAGTTACTCATGTTACTCTCATTTGATAGATAAAAGAATAGGTCCACAGTTACACAACTAATAAATGACAGATCTGAGATTTGAGCGCAAGCAATCTGACTTCAGAGTGGTACTATTAATCACTATTCTATGATACTTCTTTCTTGTTAATATAAAGCGGTAGAGAAGAGCAGCCTGGGTAGCTCAGTAGTTTAGCGCCACCTTCAGCCCGGGGCGTGATCCTGGGGTCCCGGGATTGAGTCCCAGGTCAGGCTTCCTGCATGGAGCTTCTCCCTATGCCTGTGTCTCTGCCTCCTTCTCTCTATCTGTGTTTCTCATGAATGAATAAATAAAATCTAAAAAAAAAAAAAGTGGTAGTGGAGAGGCTTCTGCTGTGAAAATCACACTGGAAGTACTCCTTGAGCTGAATCTTGTTAGATAACTCACGTTTCATCCAGCAGCAGGTAGATGTATGTATGTGTTGAGGTGAGCAGAGAGGGCAGAGGACAAGGAATTGTCGCACATACAGTTGTGTAAATCCTACACAGGAATGCCCAGCTAAGCAAATAGGGGGAGGGCCTGGAATCTATACCCACTCTGCTCACTAAGCTGTGCACCTGAAGAGGATACAGTTTGCATGAAGGTGTTGTATATTGTTCTTTCCATTCAGTTTATAGTAGTTTTATGGGACAGATCAACTACAGATTAAAATTTAAACTAAGAAGCTTGATTGTAAGGACTCTGTGCTTGTTTTTTGATTCTCGTCTCTTAATTCCAGCCTTTGGATACTAAGTGTCATGAGCTCTGCCTTCTTGTCCCAACCGGTCCTGTCGGCCCTTCAAAGTAATTCATCCTTCTCTCTAGCCATAAGAACATTTCCACATTTTAAAATACATCTAGGACTGATTCATTCTTTCATAGCTCACATTAAGGTATTAAAGACTGATAATTTGCCCTAAAACTCTAAAAAGAGATCGGTTACTAATAAAGCATGCAATTAGTACAGTTTCAGGTAGGAGAGGAGCAGATATTTTTGAATAGAGGGAACAATTTGATAACTTGTGGGTAAAATTAAGAGGTCCCTATCCACCTGTGTTGTGTATAGGTTCAAGAATTTTATAGGGGGATCCCTGGGTGGCCCAGTGGTTTAGCGCCTGCCTTCAGCCCAGGGAGTGATCCTGGGGTTCC